TTAGCTACCTTCACGGTGTGCTTACGTTGATATGTTCCCGGAAGCCAAAGCGGACACTGACTCAACGGATTTGAGTGTTGCTTTGTACCTTAGATGCGCTAAGTTCGAATGCCAAGTGCAGCGTAAACTTTTCTTATTATAAGTGCTTATTCCTTTTAGCAGTACATTGATTTCACTGTGTTTTGTTACAGCCATTCAAGAAACAGCAAAGCGTTCAGTTGCGAATACTCCATACCACGTGGTGCTCTGGCTGGGTCATACCAGAGCATCTTAACCACGATTATACAGACTGGTGCGTCTATACTTTATGGATATAACTGATATAAGCGGAAAATAGACCTGCTGTTTGTATTTTGCTTGTGATATGGCATTCGCACATGTATTTTGTTCTTTCTGCTAATCTAGGTTTGTTTTTGGTGAGTGAGTTTAGCATGGTTAGATTTTCAGCGCAATTCATAGGCCTGATACTCCTGATTTCTAGCCGGCAATACATAATATACTGGTTATAACACAGACTGGTTTTTATATATTTCTTTGTTTTTATTCCACTCTGGTACGTTTCATTCGTTGCGAAAGTGTATTTGTGTCTTTTAGTTTGTTCCTGCACATTGTGGTTTGGTCGCATTCCCGCATACTGTGAGCCGGAAGAAATAAAGGATTGCCTAAGAGACTACGGGGAACCGATTTCGATCGACGTGACTATCCGCTTTTACGCTTCAGTTGTTTAGTGTTTTTCACACCGCTGCTTTGTAGTTGATCCCTCCACGAGGTTGCGCGTACGTGGTGATGCCTGATCGCAGATCCGCATTCAAGGTTTTGGATCGTCTTCGAGATATGAGAATACAGAACCGTCAGATAAAGGTATTTACTCATATCGTACAGTTATCTTTAACTTTAACAGATTGCGTAATAATTCATTTCCATGACACGAGTAGAGTCGCCAGAACTTACATGCCAGAGTGCCGGTTACGTTACAAATGTTATTTAAAATCTGTTTATTAGCTGGTAATTCTTCAGAGTATAAAATCCGTCTGACTGATTTTCGTGTAGCCAGCTGAAGGGCAAGTAGCAAGACGTTTATTTGTGAATAATTCGAAACGCATGGTGTCTTGGAGTGATCTTGCTGATCTTGCGATATATACGGCCA